GAGGAAGAGGAAGAGGAAGAGGAAGAGGAAGAGGAAGAGGAAGAGGAGGAGGAGGAGGAAGAAGAAGAAGAAGAAGAAGAAGAAGAAGAAGAAGAAGAAGAAGAAGAAGAAGAAGAAGAAGAAGAGGTGCTTCAAAGCTTCCTGCTTAAATCTGTTTCTATCTTTTGCGTCTTTCTCCCTCCCTCTGAAAGTGTAGAATTGTTGCCTTCATTTCCCCTTTCATGTAAAACATAAAAGTTCAAAGGAACTGTGGGGGATGGGTGGGGGGGGAGAGAGAAAGTGTGGTCCTTATTTGCCAACCTTTCAAAAAAGCCCTCCTCAATTTCAATCCCTACCCCCCAACCCTTTAGGCATCTCTACCCAACACTCTATCAGTTCAGGTCAGTTTGGGGGAGTGGTGGACACTGGAGAGGGGATCTGCCTTTTGCCCCAAATCCCAGCAAGCTAAGAAAAAACTTTCCTTACACTGCCCTAAACCGCCCTTTCTCCAGAGTGGGTCAAAAACCAAGGTGGATCCACCTTTAGAAGCTCCCGATTGGCAGGGGAGATGGCAGAAGAGATGTTCTAATTGGAGAAGAGATTTTACACCCTTGCCAAGGCCTTTCTCCCTTGCCTCTTTCAGCCCAACCACTGTTTTTTTTTTTAAAACCCGAGCCAGGAGAAAATGGCAAGAGAGTTTACAACCTCCAAGGCCTCCAAAGTTTGAAGACAAGGGAAGGATAGAAAGAGAAGACCTAGTAGATTTTTCTCCTTTCTTAAGTTAGAGGAAGGCCAAGAAAACTTTGGGTGAGGGGGGGAGGAAAAAAAAAAAGCGGGCATCATTTCACCAAGGGATGCAACAAAGCCCAGCTTCTGAAAACGATGCTAAACACCAGCTCTTTTAACCAAATACCACCAAAGTAGCCAACAATCTTTCTCCAACGTTTTTGTAATTGGGGGGGAGAGAGAATCTTAGAAAAGAATCTGAGTTCACCAGCTGCCCCCTTCAGAAGCAGGCACAAAGAAATGCCATCCACCACAACAATATGAAAAAGGAAAGAAAAAAGAAAAAGAAAAATAGTGAGAGAGCTCTTAAAGAACATCGGATCAGGAGGGAAGGAAAGGATCCGTGGTTGATATTAGAACTAGAGGCCTAACCAAGCAGAAAATTTGCCAGGCTGGTTCAAAAGGCCACGGGGCTATATAAGGAGAGCCTGCCTTTTGGAAAGGCACCCCATTAAGTCCAATGCTCCCACTGGAGGTGAAGAGGTGCCCTAAAAGTATTCTGTTTTGCAGACCCTTCTAGGCGATTTTTAACACTGTATACCTTTCTCTCTTCCTTACCAAAAAAAAAAAAAAAAAAAAAAGGGGGGGGGGGGAGAAAGAAAAGAAAGAAATTGAACCTATACAAATATTCTATCCATTGGAAGAACAATTTCACACCTTAAAATGACCACAAGCAGCTCAAGACCTCGGATCTGATTATACACTTCACACCCATCCTAATATTGTGATCTTTCTCAATTAAATAATAAATCGTAATCTAGAGTGACATTTCCTACTTTTACACTGAAGGGGGAGAAGTAACTTTTCTTCTTCTTCTTCTCCCTACTCATTCTGTGAAATTAAACTATTTGTGATTACAGAAGGGGGGGAAGAGAGGCTAAACCTGCTCCAGGTAACATTTTGGAAATTTAATGTTTTTGTTTTGTTTAGTTTTGTTTTGAAGAAAAAATATCTGACTGGCAGAGCTGAACCTCCCTGCCTTCCCTGCCATCAGCAATATTTCCTTCCATTCTGCAAATTAAAACAGAACTGCAATATCCAAGCTCCCTTTTAACACCATTTTTGACCATATCTAAGTAATCCAACCTATATAAAGAGAAGAAAAACAGTGGCACGCACAAATCACCCCTTCAGGCTTATTTCCCCACCAAGACAGTTAGGAGAGTCGTACAAATGGTCAGATATCAAATAATATTTTAATTTCTGAATACTTTCAATTTTTTTTCCTTGGAATATAACACACAAAGACTGGACCAAACAGTTTTCAGTTATTATAACTTTTACAGTATACAGAAATGTTGCACTTAAAAAAAACCTTCAGTTTTTTTTCTTTAAAACACAAAAAACTGTAAACTCTAAGGTACTGAATCAACCACATTATCTATAAGTGCCAACAGTAGTGTTATTTTTTTTGTCATGCTGAATTCAATGGGTTTTTTTTCTTTTTCTTTAAAAAAAGGGAAAATATCAACAAGTATTATAATACAAAGAGCTTGCAAATATACAAACAGATAGAGGAACTCGGACAACTAGGCGGAACCCAATTTCATTCAAATTACAAAAAAGTTAACTTTGTGATGAGTCTCTCTGTGATTTTCTGTGTACATATATGTATGCATGTTTTTTTTTTTACCAAAACCATCTTGTGTCTTGGACACAATCTGCCTTCAAAAAAATACCCAATTCCCTTCCAAAATCCATATTTTGCCATATATGCATTTATGTGTTTTTGTGTGTATATATGTGTGTGCATTGTATTTACATAACACACACACACACACACACATATACATATACACATACATCTCCCCTCAGACGGGGTACAGGCAGGTTGATCGTGGTTCACTTTTATAATAATAAAAAAAGCTATAATTATAGTAGTTGTAGCTTGAAGCTAAATTTTTGGCTGACCGGATTTAAGTGCGCTTCCATCTTTCTAGAATTATTTTGGGGTGGGGGGTGTCTTTATTCCCAATTTTATGTTCTTCTCAGAAACCTTTCCAAGACAGTTTTAATTCTTTCAGAACATATACTTTTTAAAGGATACACAGTTCTTTAAAAAAAAAGAAAAGAAAAATGAAACCAAGATTATATCAAAATTATTATAGAACCACAGAATAAACTGGTTTGGAACCAGGATTTCTTTTTAAAAAAAACAACCCAAAACAAAATCCTATAGGTACACAGACAATGTTGGACAAATCAATAATTTGGAGAGAGAGAGAGAGAGAGAGAGAGAGAGAGGATGAGAGGGGGGCAATAGAGGAGAGACAGAAACAGAGAGAGAAATAGACAGGAAGAAAGAGGAACTTTCCCCAATATGTTAATTTTCTACAGGTTTGCTTGTTTTTTAAAAAATGCACTTTTAGTGAGAGGTTGCATTTCAAAGTTTTAACACCCCCTCAAAAAAGAAAGAAAGAAAGAAAGTTTTTTTTCAAGCGAAAGAGAGAAAAAGAGAGAAATAGTAACTCGTGAAAGACAAGGGAATTTTAATGCATTGTGTAAAAAGTCCATTGAACAAGTCTCTCTTTTGTTAAAAAAAAAAAATCCATAGTCCATTCAAATTATTCTCCTCTCTTCTTTTAGATGTGACATCCTTGCTTAACGGAAAGGAAAGGACGTTTACACAACCGCCAGACCCAAATGTCACTCGCGATTCCTCTGTTCCAATTTTTTTTCCATTGTGTGTGTGTGTGTGTGTGTGTGTGTGTGTTTTGTTTTGCTTTTGTCCAATTCTCTGATTTGTGGAATTATTATTATTTTTTTCCTCCTCCTCCTCCTCTCTCCAACATATTTTTTTTCTCTCCCCTTTTTCTCTTATTGGATGGCCATATACGGCCAGTTAAAACTGCTTCCAGACAGTAGCATATCTCTGATAAGGGTTTCTATGGGGGTTTTACCTACCAAACGGACGAAAAACAATTGCTCTATGACCGAGGAAGAGACGGTGCGAAGAGAGGGGAGGCGTAACAACAGTTTCCCAAAACGGGTGGGCTGGTTTGGATACTGGCTCCTGACGTATTCTTCCAAGGCGCACTGAGACTTCTCCTGTAAACTTTCAACGTGCGCTACGTCGGATAGACCACACGCATCTAGAAGAAAGGGGGGGGGGGGAACCATCATCAGTGTTAAATAAGACACACGGTTTGCTTGTGCAAATGGACACACAGACCCATCCTTGCCACCAATTGCAAGCGTGGTTGAATTCACTGCGACGACTAGCTACCCTAACCCAAAGCCCCTGTGCAAAATGGGTAGGCCTTGCACCCCGATCAGAAAGAGGTTTAGCCCCCCTCACAAAAAAAAAGGCCTTAAGATTTTTTTCCCCCCCTCTGGATTTGGGTTCCGGCTCAGCTCAGCCCCACCAGGGTCTCTTGCACGCCCGCTCCGGTGGGCTTTCCTTTCTCGACCCTCGCAAACCCTCCCTTCCACGCACAATCCAGCGCCCCAAATCCAGCCTTTTGCACAATTTCCCTCCTGCACCTGCGGTGAAGCGACTCTTAAGGGTCAACGAAACATCGAAACATCGAAACATCGCGGGACTTTCCCCCAGGAAACCTGTTTTTGAAGCTACCAAGGCGCTTTCTTTGGTGTTTAAAGTCTCTCTCTCTCTCTCTCTGTGTGTGTGTGTGTGTGTGTGTGTGTGTGTGCTTGATTGAGGAAGTCAGCACGCTAAGCACGTGCTGAAGCCCCCTCCTGCAAGGGCGCCGAGGTTTCTAAATCTTAATTGCCCCCTCCCTTCCTTAAATTCTTGAAGAAGGGCGGGAGTCTCCCTCTCCCCCCCCCACCCAACCTGCACGGATTTTTAATTAATTTATTTATTTTTGGCATGGTGTTGGGAAAAGGGAAGATCGTGTGTGCCCCACCAAAAAAAAAAAAACATATTGGGAAAAATAAATGATGCAGAACCTAACCGACAGAACATGAGAGCGTTTTAAAGAAGGTAGGTTCAGAAATTAGCTCTGCTCAGCTCCAGAGAATTGAGTGGAAAGAAAGAAAGAAAGAAAGAAAGAAAGAAAGAAAGAAAGAAAGAAAGAAAGAAAGAAAGAAAGAAAGAAAGAAAGAA